GAGCACTGCAACATGGCTCCCTTTCTCTCTAGCATCAGACAGCAAAGAGAGAGAACAAAGGACAATAGTCCCACTTCACAGAACACAGTAACACAAACATCCTGTCTCCATCACTTCCCACTCTGTGGAGTCAAAACATACATCGTCATGTGATAGACAACAATCCCATGACTGCAATCACGGGGAATGAATCTTCAACAGGTTCATGGGCGATGGCTATCATTCATACAGTACTATAGCAATCAGTCCAAAATGAATCAAATCAACATTTTATTGTTCAACCAAAAATTGGGCAGTTCCCCCCATCCTCACAATCCTGAAATTGTATCAATAAGAATATACACCATTTTATAAAATACAGATGAAAGCAAAACCCGTGGGGGGGGATAAGATTTACCACTACATAAATTTGGGCCACAATCACACCTTGCATTTAAAACACTATTGTAGTGCTTTTACAGTCATGGCTTCCCCCAAAGCTTCCTGAGAACTGTAGCTCTGCGAGGCCAGCACTCTTAACTACATTTCCCATAATGCTTTGGTGGAAGTGATTACCATTAAAGTGCTTTAAATGTATGGTGTGTGGATGTGGCCTTAACATTTCCCCCTCTATTTCTGAGGTCCAGCTGAATGTGTCATTGCTTAAGTAGCCAAAATGACAACACATGCAAGAGGAAGATGTCAGCAGGTTTGGGGAAGGAACCCCAAGGTCTGAAGAAGTACTAAAAACCTTTAGACAACAAAAAGGAGAGGGACACCACCATTATTCCTGCCCAGCCCTGGAAAAAAACTAAACCTGATGAGCCTTAGAATGCCCATTGGCCACAGAATGCTGACTGGTGGTTGTGTGTATGATTTGAAAAACCAAATTCAAGAATGTGAGACTTAAGGTCAGAGAATAGTCATGCTCAACAGTTTCTCAGCAAATGGTTACCAGTTTGTTATCATGGGAAACAGGTACCTATCGTGAAGTTTATTCTTCTGAATTAAGACTGTGGCATTTTTATTCCTTTGCCTGAGAACCAACCACTGGATTCCATTTCCATTGCCAGAAGTTTAAAAGGAGGTAATATAATACAGTCCTTTCCTTACTGTCTGAACTCATATCTGTTACAAAAATCTTGCTGTATGTTTTTCCAGGTGCTACTATCTGGGAAACAAGGCACAAGGGGACCAGAAATGTGTTTCAAGGCTTAACATAGATGCCTACAATTAGTTAATAAAAATAGGGATTTTGAGTTATCGCAAGCCGTTTTCGAGCTAAACCCTGTACTCGTTTATGTGCTTTCATGCGCCAGGCATGCTTCCACAGCAGAAGCAATGTGTGTTCACCTACCCTCCAACATTTCTCTGATGAAAATAGGGACGCCCCATTCCATAATGATAATTTTACTATTTATACCCCACACATTTTACTGGGTTGCCCCAGCCACTCTGGGCAGCTTCCAACATATATAAAAACATAATTAAACATTAAAAAAAACAACTTCGCTATACAGAATTGCCTTCAGATGACTCGGGGGTCAGATAACTCCATATCCTCCAACATTTCTCCAATGAAAACAGGGACGTGTTAAGGAAAAGTGGGACATTCCAGGATCAAATCAGAAACCAGGATGACTTCTCTAAATCAGGGATGCCCTGGGAAACTAGGGACACTTAGAGGGTCTGTGTTCCCAACAGAACAAAATGTAACCTTCAGTCATCTGTATTCATTTGTATAATCTGCAAACGCACAATTTCCCAAAGAGGGGAAATCTGATGCCTGGTACTGAATTGTACATACTGAGAATCTCAGGGCCCATCCAAACTTCCTCTGGTGCTGTCACTTTCTACTTAGGTCCAAGAGCGTTTTCTGCTGGTGGAAGGTTCCTTCCATTTGTGCAAAGGCACCCCCCTTAATTCTTCCAGTTTCTCCAGCTCATTCAGCCACCTGAGCTCCCATCCCATCCCATTCCAGATGGGATCCCACCATTCCTAAGGGATGCAGTGGGTTGGAGGAGCCAGGAAAGCCCCGCTCTATAAACCGAGTTCCAGTAATAGTTCTCTGGATGCTTAAAGGACTTTGTGATGCAGAGATTCAGAGCATGAAATAGCAGCACTTCAGAGAAATGCAGGCTAATATATTGGGCCACTTATCTTTAATGGGAATATGTTTTAAGAGGCAGCTATTGAGCTGATATTTCTTTATTCCTTTGAGGCCTAGTTCTTATAAACAGCAAATCAGGGGCTAAATTTGTTTCTCCAGTGTAGGCTAACATGATTGAATGTACCTCCATAACAAGAAAATCTCTATACATTAAAAAAAAAACAACAGATGTCAGGGAGAGACTAGATAAGAAGCCTTCTCCCTCATAACTAAAACACATCCTAAGCATACATTTGAACCATATGGATTCCCCCAAAGAATCCTAAAAGCTGTAGTTTGTTAAGGTGCTGGGAATTGTAGCTCCTTCATCCAGCAGCCCATAGATGTCTAAACATGCTGCAAACATTACCATAAAAAACAGGAGTTTTGCATTTACAAGGGTGGAATCTAACTCACTTAAATGTTTTATTTTATCTAACATCTTCATTCTGCCTTTCAGTGACCCTCAAGTTCCTCTCGCTAACTCCTTTCTTTCCTGCTCTTTTCTTTCCACCTCTCTGAAGTAAGACAAATGTACAGATGGGTCTCATAACTCTCACCCAAGGGTGACTTTGTGAGTGTCTGGACATCAGAAACAAGAAACTAAGCCAAATGCTTTTAACTTGCAAATACCCCAGAGGCACATCTCTGACAGAGTTATGGTGATGCCCCAAACTAACCTTATAGAGATATTATTAATCAAGCACAAGTTTCCATATTGTAATCAAAGAGAAGCAAAAGATTAGGGAAATTCTTCGGGGTGTACTAATGAATATGTTAGTGAATGGATGAAAGTTTCAGAGCATTTTACCAGTGGAAAATTCCTAACCTAGAACACAAACCCGAGCACTCTTACATAATAAGTCATAGGGAAAAAACAAGTCAGACTCATAAGAGACCATCTCTTGCCATAGAAAGACAGTCTAGAGTTTTTGGTAAACAGCTCCTGGGATAGGTTTACAATATTACGCAGTCTAGTCTATGATAGTTGTGGAAAAAAGGAGTGTAGACTCTTTTCCTCCCCGCCCCATCACCAGGCTCACATGTGCATGTAGGGAGAATATATGTTTAATTATAAATGCATGAAAACATGTGGCCTTCCACGAATGAACAGTCCAAAAAGCTGCCCCAGAAAAGCCTAAGATGCAATGGAACATGCATTTGACATGTTGTTTTCATTAATGTATGCATTTTATCTAGACTTTGACCACACATTTGCATTCTGTGCACATTTATTTGATTAGATAATGGTATTGGTAAATAAGAATTTTGAACGATTGCTGTATTTTGGTTTGCTCTATTTGAAGGATTACTGCATACTGTTTCAGGAAATGTGAATTAGGTAGGTTCACAGCCGAACTGAATTTCTCCTCTTCCCTAATAAACAAAGCTTAATTTGTGTAACTACAGTTTTCTCATGTATTCATATCTTCTTGTTCTTCTTGCTGCTGCCTGCTATCAGCGAGCTTTATGGCTGAGTGGGGATTTGAACTCCGGTCTCCCAGGTCCTAACTGAATACTTTAACCACTTTGCCACACTGGCATGAAAGGAGTTTGCTTGAAATGTTTGCCTCTACAGTTCTCTTTTGTAGAACAGTCAGGCTGACCGCCTTCGTTATGCTGCCTCCCTCTTCAAATCTCCACGTACAACCCCTTTCCATGAAGTCTTGGCTAAACCAAGCTTATACAATTTCACTGCATGTGAATTACCATCATGTCCATCTTTCCCGCTTTTCCCTCCACTCCCATTTTGGGTTAATATATTGTGTCAAATTTTAGGGTTGTGCCACTTCTCCCATTCTATCAGATTGGAGGATTGGAACAAAACCTTTGCTGAAGGCTCTCCTAATATGAACTAGGGCTTCGCGAATGCTAATGATTAAGCAGTATATACATAAATGTTTTGAATAAGAGCGTAAGAAAATAAGAGGAATCTGCTGTTCTCACAGCGGCCAGTTAGATGCCTGTGGAAAACCTGCAAGCAGGACCCAAGATAAGTAATAATAAAATAAAATAATGTATGACCTTTACAATAAAGAATTATTGTATGAGCATTTGGTTTCTGTATTTAAGCAGGTATTCCTTGGAATAGCCTTTCTTTTATGCCCCACTTTAAAACCAAATTGACACTGACAGCACAAGGTTAAAACTGTCTTGTTCTTACTTTAATCATATTAATAAAAAGGAAACAATATATTTTCCTCAAAATATCCCTTTGAAGTTCTGCTGCTTGATTATCTCACAGTGTTGTTATCTTCCTACTGCTCCCTGCCAAACCTGTGATTCATTCTCTCTATCAGTTAGAAGACATCGTTCATCATACACAAGCATAAGCTAGGTTCTCTTTCAGTGGCTATGAATTTCCTGGCCATTTATGAAAGCTGTGTAAGACTTCTCCTTTTCTACCAATTTGCCACAGATAATAAATCTTTAATTAATATCATAATTTGTTTTGGCATTTAAATAGAACCTATGCCATGGCTTGTGTTCCTGAGGAATGCATCCCATAGCTTACCGTCAGCTTCAACTGAGCAGTACTAAAATAAATGCTCTTGCCAGGGGGAGATGCATTTGGACCACAGATATTTCAAAAGAAATCGGAAGTGCATGCATAAGCAAATGATGTTTTAATGTTATATGTTCACGTATGCTGCAGTTGTTTTCATTAACCGGCACAGCTGACTTTACCATGAAGCAAGAACACCATACCAGATGTTGCTGACTTTCAAGGCAAGAGAGCTATTGACCCCAAGCCCTGCTTATAAATTTCCCTGAAGCATCTTCAAGGATGCCAATGGAACCAGGATGTTGGACTAAGAAGGAGTCTTGCACTGATTCAGCAGAACTTGTCTTATGTCCTTCAAGTGAAGCAGGACTGTTAGTCCAGTAGCTCAGTCAGCAGAGTATGATGCTCTTAATCTCAGGGTTGTGGGTTCAAGCCCCACATTGGCCAAAAGATTCCTGCATTGCAGGGGGTTGGACTAGATGACCCTTGTGGTCACTTCCAATTCTATGAACTGAAGAATGTGGCTCTACGAATTCTATGAATGGAATGTGCTTTAGGAAGGAAAATGATGCCAAAAACAATTCTCCATTCTCTCTCATTATGCACTTCCATTATGCAACCCCTTGCAAAAAACATGCAAGTGAGGGACCCTTGATCCAAATTTTCCATCTCAGCTTCTGTGTTAATTGTGGTGAAACCTGTTTATCAAAGAAGAAAAAAGTCCCTTTGCCATTCACAACTGAGATTGCAGATGTGTTTTTGCCATTCAGACTCAGGTACTTTTGAACCCAGAATTAGAAAGTAAAGTGAAATTTATGGATTTATGTTTGAGGTAGTAGTGGGTCTAATATAAATGAGCATTAAAAAAACCCCACAATAATTTTAAATTTTATGGGACCTGCTATTGCCCTGCACCTAACCACATTCCCTTCTGTGTATACCCAATTAAAACCGCTCTGTTTATTCTGTCCCACTTGCCTCTCAGAATTCCTTCCCATGGTCCACATCTTTGATGGCACATCAGGAGATTGGGACTAAGATACTTGGAGCCACTACCATGACACACAGCCTGGCAGTCCCTTCCCACTTAGAAAAAAGCTTCTTGGTTCATTCTCCTGTATCATGAAGGAGCTATTGCCCTTCTCTGGTGCAACAGAGTGAAGTTGCTGCACCCCTGTATTGGCCAGTTCCCAGTTTCTCCTCCTGTTGCAAAGGCTGTTGACCAGCTAGCTCCCAGTACCACAGGAATAGGTTAAGCAGACGTTAAACCAGGTCCAATGTTACCCCCTCCCCAAATAATTAGGTTTCTGAACCTCTTCCTTTGTGTGAACTTTGATTCCAAGCACAAGGCAAATAGGTTTTCTGGATTATACAGGTTTAAACCACATGCACAGGTGAAAAAATGTGATTGTGAATGATATGCTGACAGTCTTGAGTCTGCAGTTGTATTCATCTGAAGAGTACTATTACATCTGTTATGCATTTTTAAAACCATTTTACTTGAATTTTTGGAGATATTTGAGTGGTTTACCTACGTTTCCATATGTTTAAAAGAGCTATAGTGGAAAAATCAGAATGCCAATATGACCTTCCAGGCCACTTATAAGTGGGACAGGGAAAATTAAGAAGGTATCAGTTCAGACTCTGGAGCTTTCAACATTCTTTTCTCTGTTTTTTGGTAGTTGAATATTAGCAAAATACTAACTTTAAATATTAAACATTTGAGGGGAAACAGGCATTTGACAAGAAGTAACAGTACCAATCATAACTTTCTGTGCCAAGATGCACACCTGCTAAAACATCTCAAGCTGAAGATGCTTTCAGGTGCCCTAATTATTTATTATAATTATTATTATTGCTAGAAGGTCAAAGAAGGATACTACAGCCCTCAGCAATCTTTTCCTATGCCCAGTGCCAAAATTAAGGACTGTACTACACATTTAAACGTATTAAATGTATTTAAGTGTGTCATTGCGTTTAACATGTAGATTTTAAAAATGCAGATAACATTGGCTGGCATGGCTGATAATAATCGGTATTGTAGCAAGCAGGGAAGGAGAATTTCACTCTCCTCTCCCCTGATGCTGTCCAGAGGGAAAGCCCTGTTCTGAAGCTGCTATTTGCCCTGGAAGTCCCCCAATGACATCACATCTAAGCATTTAGGCAAGGAAGAAGTAAGATAAAAATGGATGTCTGGAATACTCCCCAGTGGATTATAATGAGAGCTGCATTTAAAATTCCACAGGTTCCACACTGCTGAACTAATGGATAGCTTATGATTGCTTAGTGCAACCAATTGCAAATAGATAGTATGCATGCCTTATCTCATGGACTACCAGTGGCTACTAACCATTATGGCTGTCCTCTGGAAGCAGGACAAATGCCCCAGAGTACTGTCCCTTCGTGCAGTTTCCAGAAAATGGTATTCAAAAACATCACTGCCATTGGCCTCATCTAGCAGTCTCTTATGATATATGTGTTCTTATGATATATGTGTGCGAACCTTGCACAATTCAGGAAGCTGTTGGTGACTATGAAAATGAGTAATAGGTGAAGTGGGAGGCAGAATCCTATAGCAGAATAAGGTTACGATTGCAAATAATTCAATGTCACACCACAAGCTTGGCGCATAACTGTTCACATTTCCACAAAGTGCTGGGATGTTTGATGCAGAGAGAGGAAAAGGTGTAATTCCTTGGGGCATCATCAAAAGTCAAAAGGCTGTGAAATTCCACTGGTTTAAATGGAAAAGTTAAGCACACGCTTAGTTCATCTCACTGAAATACAGATGGATCAGGCCCATTGTCATCTTCTAAATATGGGAGAAAGTTCTCAAATGTATTTCATTACAGTCATACCTCATGCTACGTCTGCTTCAAGTTATGATCTTTCATGTTACGTCCCACAGCGACCAGGAAGTACCGGAAAGGGTTACTTTCGGGTTTAGCTGCTCACGCATGCACAGAAACACAAAATTATGTCACGTGCATGCACAGAAGCAGCAAATCACAACCCACACATGCGCAGATTCGCCACTGCGGGTTGTGTTCTTTTCATGTTGCGAACGGGCCTCTGGAACGGATCATGTTCGCAACCAGAGGTAGCACTGTAGTCTCCTTTTTTTCAGGGTAAGCTTTACAAATATCCAGTTTTCATATTTTTCAAGTCGGCATGAGCTGTCTCAAGCTGTGGTGGCCTATGCATGCACCAAATACCAGTTTTCTAAGTCAGCAATGGTAAATGTCCTCATCACTTGGATACCCCCATGAGTAGAGTGGCCACAGATCTTACTATTGGGTCATGAATCCTCTATTTGAAGGCATCTGTTTGATGGACTGCCCAGGCCAAGTCCAGTTTACAGATAAGAACCACAAGGAGAGATGGAGCCCATCAGCAATTAACATCTAGGCAGTGGACGTGAGCAGACACATCAGTGACCTAGTCACAGTCTTCTCCCAATAAGGTGAGATATACAGCAATTTGATTTCAATTATAGTAATCATTTCTAAATTACTAATTTGCATTTATAAATATAAACCAGTATATGCAAATTTTAATCAAATCTCTATTTTGTCCTCTTTTTCTGGATTATGTTTAAGTGGCAACCCACATTTCTCATGTATGACTGAATGAGGCCCAAGTATCCTTAATTATACCTATATTTAATATAAAGTAATTACAAAAGTGCACATTGAGATTCTGTTCCCTTGGTGTGGGAAACTTTATTACTTTTTTTTAAGCCCTTAATATTTTGGTTTCTAGCCATACAGTGTGTTTATAGGCCTCAGGCTCTGAACTAAAATAGGATTGGGTTTCCTTCAGGTAAGCATTTCCAGACACTTTATCTGCTATATCATTACAACTATACTCTATTTGTTACTGTACAGTGAAACACAATCCTTGCATTATATTCCACACGAATAGCCGTTTCTGCAGCATCTTGTCATCATTTCATGAACGTGGCTTTGAAGCCGTTTTGGATTCTAAAGTCAGTGAATAACAGAAAAGGCTTAAGTGCACAACACCGTATTATTTACTCAGATGGGGTTAATTGTGGAATAAAAGAAAGGCTCCTTTCAGTTTACCTTTGTACAATCTCTCTCGCGCTGGATATGGAAGACTGGGAAGTCAATGATAAATATCAAACTTGCTAATCAGGAGCGAGGTCAGCCTTATTTGAAATCTTGAACTTAATCCAGAATCAGGAAATGCGGCCACTTGTATTACTGTTGCTGAAAGGAGAAAATGACCTTTTTATTGTAGCTTAACTTTACCATTGTATTTGTGAGCATGTGGCTTGGGGTAGGAAGGGGGGAGAGAAAGGATAAACGTGAAAGGATCGGCTAGATTTTCTTTTAACTAGAACACAGGGTGCAATAGAAATATAGATACCCATAGAAAGAATGGGATGGTCTTTGCCAGGCGTTTGGCAGAGACTGAACCTCAACAAAATGTTTTTCCCTGAGCTTGTACACCCTGTTTCTGTTTTTCTTTGTCTCCCACTTAAACTAAAATCTGAGAGGATGTTGCCATTGGAAGGGAGCATCTTATAAAAAGAGAAAGGAAGGTAGACATGTTGATGAAGTCCACTATACACAGCATATTTTCAAGATGTGCGCAGATGACAAAGCGTAGAAATTTGGATGGGAAGGAGATTAACTAGGGCAGAAGAGGCAAGAAGTGTTATCTACCTCGTAGTGCACAAAAGTAGGATTTTGGCAAAACACCAACACAAAAAGAACACAAAACTCTGGGGATCATCACATAGTTAACACTCCTGAAGAGGGCCTCTGATGGGGATCACTACAACCGCCTATAACCCTACTGGTCGTTATGCTATAATGACAAAAAGCTGTAGTCTGAATATTTATCTGGTGACTGAAAATATTTGCATTAGTATATCATTTTACACTTTCTGTATACCCAGGACTATTTGTATTTCCATTCCTCTCTTTTGCTCTCCACCGCACGCAAATCTAAAACTTACCCAGTATTCAGTCCTTCATTATTTATGTAAGATGCCTAATTGTGAAGACAAAATGAAGCCTTTGCTTCCTTTATAAATATTTGTGCCATGACCCATAACTACTGGCTAGTGTGCCTGCCAAGGCTCCATTAGCTGTCATTCCATTTCGCTTTAGCTATTATCATTTGATAACTTCTTGGAGTGCTCACAGGACTACTTCATTAGAGAACTATGTTTTCTGTGAGAATTACAGCAGTAAAAAGACACCTTTGTCAGATATTTTGGTCTCTTTAAAATGTAGAGGCTCGGCAGGAATCATCCCTACCGACTTGTAATGGCTCCTGGAAACTGTTCATTCAGATGGGTCTTTGACACATGAACCTCTTTCCCCCAACCAGTTTTTATTGGCCTTATTGTAATTGCTGTGCTCTACTTTTAATGAAAGGTGTAGTCTATATTTCAATAGCCGGTAGTGATGTAT